GGGGGGGGGGGAGTCGTGGTTGTCACGACACTACAACATCAAGGGAAAACCCGGTGGACAAGCCCGTGTGACTACAAGACAGGACATGTCACAGCAGTGCGGTACTAGATAATGAGGAGTAATGAGCTGTTAGTCAACACCCGCAACAGTCTGTATCTGCGATGCTGTGTGCTGTGTGTGACGGGGACTTCCTCCGCAATCATCACGTACGCAACGGAATATATTAAGCGTATCTTCAAACTGCTGTGCATCCGCTCCCGCTGAGGTCAACTGCTACACCAAATAACGGCGGAGCAACACACACACGTCGTAACACAGGCCATGCTACAGCAGTACCGCCAAACGATCGACACCTAACAGCACTGCCGCCGTCCAAAATGACCTGTAGTAGTGGCAGAAACGGAAACACTAGATAGAACCCATCGGGCAGCGCGGTGTGGAAAGCCGGCGGAGAGTGGCAGGAGCGCATCAGTTCAAACAGAGCCAGCTCGTTCTCCCGCCGCATGGATCTTGTCACAACATCTCAGTCTCTCAGTCCCTCTCATGTTTCGCTTTTGCTGGAGGCGGCGTCGTTTGTTTGCTTCCGTTATGCCCGGTCCTATTGCGGTCCATCCAAATACGTTATCCTTACATCGTTTTCCTGAGTCCTACGTGGCGACTGCGTCAATAGCACCAACTGCCTCGACTTCGCTCTCCACCGCTGCTGTTGTTGCTGTACAGGGAAGACCTCAACCTATCCGTTTTTCACCCATCGATTTCTCCAAAGGGCACTAGAACCGCCAAGACTCTCCCTGTTTAGGCAGCGAGCGGGCACCAGCTCTGCCGTTACTGCTGTGCTTTTACCTCTATCGAAGAGATTGCACCATGGTAGGTGGGTGTGATTCTGTGCATGTGCGAGACTCATCAGTGGCTGATACCTCTGTTTCTTCTGGTTTGAATCGCGCGCGCTTGAGATCTCCGTTTTTGTATTCCCTCTTCGTAAAACACCCGGGGATAGGTGAGGCATCTCCCACGGATTTTGGGCACAAATGCCCGTGTAGCACGGCCATCTGTTGCCGGAACACGACCAAACCGGTGTGACCAGAAGCGATTAATTCTTCTTTTTCCTCTCAAGGCAACAGATGGTCAATCGGTGCCCTATAGATCTCGCTCTGGTCGAAAAGGAAGGTTACTGAGGCTTCCCGATAATCAAACTTGGGGCACCTGCATCGTTTTTGAACAGGTCAATATTTCGATCCTTTTTTTCCCTCCTGGGATGAAAGGAAAAAGGTTGCGCTTCACGCTCCGCGGCCAATTGAAAATAGTAGGTAAAAATGCTTCCCAACACAATCTTACAGCAGCGCATTACTCCATTGCGGCACCGTTAGCACTACACCCGAGAGCTTCGGTGATGATATGTTATATTGAACAAAAACAATTTATTTCCCCTCATGTTCCGAGTGCGTGCGTGTGTGTGTGGGGGGGGGGGGGGGGGGG